CTGATGAAGGGTCTAGGCCCAAAACGTCAGCCTTCCTGCTCCTATGATGCTGCTTGGCCTGCAGTGTTCATCCAGCTCTACACCTTAATAAAATCCATCAACTGCTCAAATTTATTATTGAAGTAGATCATTCAAGCAAGCTCCTTATCCACAAAGTATTAGTTGAGAAATCTGCCAGTGGGTTTCTACTAATATCTGCCAAAACTACCAAAGGTTCACTGGTTCACTACACGCTTGAATTCCTACAGCTTCACTAATTATAAGATGAATCTCGGCAACCTCGTGAATAAAGCCAAAGCCAACTAGAAGCTACAAGATATGGCACATTAAAACTATCCTGCATGATAATAGCTATTCAGGTCAAATAGTCACTAAATGAATATCACAAAATCTCATGAGAGGGCTTAAGTCCCCCAATTCTGGCCCTGTGCAATGTCCTACCTCAGGTCACCCTGGAAGGGGAAGGTGTCTCACCTTTCAACAACAAGTGAAGCTAGCCATCTAATGCTGCTCCTTTATGGTGAACCCATGAGTGAATTTCTCCACTAACAGGATGCTTCTGTCAAGCCAAAAAGATGTTTTTGTCTACTGAGTAATTGATAATTGTCAGGTATGTAGGCAATATGCCCCAATGGCTGGGGGATTATATCAAATAACATGGCCTGTCAACCACTCAGTGAGTAGAATGCTGATTTTTCTCGATCAGCCCGTGCTTGCAAAGCTTAGAATGGTATTCCCACAATTTGATATGATTCTGCTGTTGGAACTACTTGAAAATGTGGAAAATCATCCAGGTAAGCCCTGTATATGAAAGAAAGGATAAATCCAACCTGAGCAATCATTTCCCCATCAGTCCACTTTCAATCATCAGTCAAGAAATGGAAAGAGTTGTCAACAGTGCTGTTATTGCTGAGCAATAACCTACTCACTGACTGTGCTCAGTTTCCACCAGGTTCGCTCAGCTCCTGATCTCATTTCAGCCTTGGTTCAAATCTGGAAAAAAGAGCTGAATTCCAGAGGTGAGAGAAGAGTGACTGTCCTTGACATCAAAGCTGCACTTGACCGAGTATGACATCAAAAAGCCAAATAAAACTAGAGTTAATGGTAATCTGAGTAAATTCTCCAATAGTTGGAGTCATAACTAGCTAAAAAGGAAGATTTTTTGTGGTTGTTAGAGGTCCGTCATTTCAGCTCCAGCACATTTCTGCAGGAATTCCTCAGGCTAGTGTCCTAGGCCCAACTGTCTTCAGCTGCTTTATTCATGGCCTTCCCTTCATCATAAGGTCAGAAATAAGGATGTTTAATGTAGAAATTTCACAACGTTCAGCACCATTCATGACTCCTCAGATGCTGAAGTAGTCTCTGCCCAAATGCATGCAATCCGAGACAATATCCAAGTTTGGTTTGATAGGTGTGTGTATATATATATAAAATATATATACTTACTTACAATAGCTACAACTGAAAGTTAGTGGCTGGGGAGGTGATGGCTAAGTGGTATTATCGCTAGGCTATTAATCCAGAGACCCAGCTAACAGTCTGGGGGCCCTGGTTCGAATCCTGCCATGGCAGATGGTGGAATTTGAATTCAGCAAAAATCTAACAATGCTAATTTCATTTTGGGCGGCCCGGTGGCTCAGTGATTAGCACTGCTGCCTCACAGCGCCAAGGGCCCGGGTTTGATTCCACCCTCAGGTGACTGTCTGTGTGGAGTCTGCACATTCTTCCCGTGTCTGCGTGGGTTTCGTCCAGGTGCTCTGGTTTCCTCCCACAGTCCAAGGATGTGCAGGCTAGGTGGATTGGCCATGCTAAATTGCCCATAGTGTTCAGGGATGTGTAGATTAGGTGGATTATAGGGGGATGGGTCTGGGTGGGATGCTCTGAGGGTCTGTGTGGACTTGAAGGGCCAAAGGGCCTGTTTGCACACTGTAGGGATTCTAAGGAATTCTGTGCAAGTAACTAGTCTCCTGACTCCCCAAAGCCTGTCTACCATCTACAAGGCACAAGTCAGGAGTGTGATGAAATACTACCCACTTGCCTGGGTGAGTGCAGCTCCAACAACACTCAAGAAGCTTGACACAGTTCGAGACGAAGCAGCCCACTTGATTGGCATTACATTCATAAAAATGTACTTCCTCCACCACCAATGCTCAGTTGTAGCATATACCATTTACAAGCCATACTGCAGAAATTCACCAAGGATGCTTTAGACAAACCCATGACCATAATCATCTAGAAGGACAAGGTCAGCAGATGCATGGCAACACCACCACCTGAGAGTTCCCCTCCAAGCCACATCATTCTGAATTGAAAAGACATTGCTGTTCCTTTAGTGATGTTGGGTCAAATTCCTGGCACTATCCCTCCACCAGCATTTTAAGAAGACAGCCCACCATCCCCATCTCAAGGGCATCTACAAATGGGCAATAAATGTTGGCCCAGCAAACGATGTCCAGATCCCATGAATGAATTTTTTTTTTTAAGTTATATGCTGTTTATGAAGAGCTCTTGACAGCAAAGCTTCCAAATTTAAATTGTACCTTTACAAGGTTCTCTTTTTATTCAGCAATGTGAGGTTTCAGCTTTAAAAAGCATCTCATTATTGAGTTTGCTGAAGCAACTTTCCATTTTTTTTATTTTGCTCTGTCTTAGAAGACTCCATTTCAAAGCTTTTGAATCCTTGTTCCCAACATAACTGGCTGGATTTATAATTGTGGATACAGTTAAATTAAAGAGAGAGGCTGCTTCATACTGCACAAACATTAACAATTCTTTTGCAGCTAATATTTAAAATTTCAAACTGTCTCCTGTACACCACCACTATCCTTCTCCAGCTCCCTGCTGTTCAATGGAATGAGTATTAGATATGTTTGTATGTAGAAGTTGTTTTGATTGATTGGAATAATCAAAGTTGATCCAAGCAGAACAAATGTGATGCATAAATTGTGCTTGATGCCTAATTCAATACATACTCCAAGATGCTTCAAGATCAAAGCAAAAAAAAATCATAATCAAAAATCTCTGTCTAATTGAAAAATGTTGGCCCAAGTATTTTCATCTTTGAATGTATTAGTGATCCTGAACTTTATACTAAGGTTACCCTGAGATTTACTAAGCAGCATGTGTATAAATATAGCTAGAATGTTGAGAACAGTCACATTTCAGTTCAACACAGGCAGGTTACTACTCATGGCATTTACATTCAATATATACAAAGCAGTCTTTAGAATTCATGCATTTTTTATTGCAATGTAACAGCTGAATCATGTTCATGGAAATCCTGGGTCCACCCTGAATATAATATAAATTGTTCCATCCCAAATGTGCTTTTTAGTGCTGGGTATTTTAAAAGCTGCTTCTAGCCCTCTAATCACTAAAGCGTAGATACTGACTAACTACAGTCACATTTTAATCAGATGACCAGTGCAGCTGGCTGGAATATAGACCAGAAAAAGGAGATCTCATCCATGTTGAATGTTGGGTCATGTTAGTTCAGGATTATCAGGCTGAGAGGAAAGAATGACAGCCCCCTCCACTGCTTCACCCCACCCCACCCCAGCCCGTTATGGCCACACATGCAAATAAACACTGACTTCATAGAATCCCTACAGTGTGGAAGGAGGCCATTCGGCCCTTCAAGTTCACACTGACCCTCCGAAAAGCATCCCACTAAGACTCAACCTCCTACGCTATCACCCTCAATTTTACTATGGTTAATCCACCTCACCCGCACATCCCTGGACACTATGGATGATTTAGCATGACTAATCCATCTTTGGACTGTTGGAGAAAACCGGAGCTCACAGAGGAAGTTTATGCATACACTGCGAGGATGTTTGCAGATGATACCAAGTTGGGTGGGAGGGTGAACTATGAAGAGGATGCAGAGATCTTTCAGCATGATCTCAACAGATTGGGTGAGTGGGCAAATCAATGGCAGATGGAGTATAATGTGGACAAATGAGAGGTTATTCATTTTGGAAGCAAAATCAAGAAGGTAGATTACTACCTGAAAGGCTGTAAATTGGGAGAGGGGAGTGTGCAACAGGACCTGGGTGTCCTTGTGCACCAGTCGCTGAAGGTAAGCATGCAGGTACAGCAGGCGGTAAAGAAGGCAAATGGTATGTTGGCCTTCATTGCGAGAGTTTTTGAGCACAGGAGCAGGGATGTGTTGTTGCAGTTGTACAGAGCCTTGGTGAGACCACACCTGGAATATTGTGTACAGTTTTGGGCTCCTTTTCCGAGGAAAGATGCTCTTGCTCTCGAAGGAGTGCACTGAAGGTTTACCAGGCTGATTCCGGGATGGCGAGTCTGACGTATGAGGTAAGATTGACTAGGTTAGGATTGCTTTTGCTGGAATTCAGATAAATGAAGGGGGTCTCATAGAAATTTATAAAATTCTAACACCGGACAGGGTGGATGCAGGGAGGATGTTCCCGATGGTGAGTGTGCCCAGAACCAGGGGTCACAGTCTGAGTATTTGGGATAGACTATTTAGGACAGAGATGAGGAGACATTTCTTCACCCAAAGCGTGGTGAGCCTGTGGAATTCATTGCCATAGGAAGTAGCTGATACAAAAACATTGAATATATTCAAGAGGCGACTAGATATAGCACTTGAGGCAAATGGGATCAAAGGTTATGGGGAGAAAGCAGGACTAGGCTATTGAGTTGGAGGATCAGCCTTGATCGTGAAGATTGGCACAGCAGCTCGAAGGGCTGAATGGCCTTCTCCTGCTTCTATCTTCTATGTTTCTATCTGCAGACTCCATCCAAGGAGATGGTCACCCAAGGCCAGAATCAAACCCGGATCTCTGGCGCTGTGTAGTAACACTGAGCTACGGTCCACCCCTTGCCATGTTCCTCATTAGTTGGTCTGCCAGCTGATGCTGAACAGAGGAATGTGCACTGTGCATATTAGGCCCGGTATTAAAGTGACAGTCGGGCATCAGATTGTATGTTTTTGTAAAAACAAAACCCTACATGATGTCTTATGTTGAGTGAGATTCATTAACCTGACATGGATTAGAATTCTAATCTGGCATCATAGTCTATCACCACAGTTGAAGGGGAATTGTCCACCTTACTATCTGTTAGAAATTGGGTAGTACAACTCTAAAACAATAACCAAGGACCTAATATTGCCACCACTGCTGTGCCATATCGACATTTCCTTGAGTCCACTGCTGGGCAGCATTGATTTGGAAAATAGGTCTGTTTAAATTACATTTATCCTTATATTGGATCTACTTTGAGTGAATAAAGTGCGTGGCATTTTTACTTTTCTATGCAATGCAATTCTAATCTTGGTTTTACATTTCAAGAACTCTGAACAGGATTCTGATATTCTACAATAAATGTTTTATTGCGATTGATATTAAAACAGGTCAGGATATAAAACGGTTGTTTAAATGCAATAATGAAACAGCTACTTCAGTGTTGTCATAAAATTATCTTTGACCTGCCAAAGCTTCCTCCAGAGTGCAGTGAGCAGTTACTGAACATATTAATCAATGCTTATGTTGTCCTTAGGCATAGTAAGTTTTTAAAAAAACGTATTGCATTTGAAAATGGTCACTGCACATGAACTCCTCTGACAGGCAGGATTTGGTTTCCTCACTAATGTTCAATATATTTGTGTTACTTTCTCTGCAGCTGGAGTTTATAGATTAGTTGCTTTTTTATAGCAATTCCATATGTCTAGAGATCTAATCTCTGTATTGCATCGCTTGGAGGGGAATTTTCTGCCTTCCCATTTCCAGTTTTCCTTTCATCTCCTAAAATGATATGCACACTGCCACTTACAGATCTTCACTAACTTTGTTTTCATTCTCATTGACCACGTTAATGGACTGTTCAAATGTGAAGTTGAGGGCTGATATTGCAGTCAAGCTGTTTTCTTTCATCACCTAAAGTCCATGCATTAACTCAATCCAGAGTATCAATGACCAATTCCTTTTATCCTGTTCCATGTTTAATCTGATTGAATCTAATTATAGTTAACTTTGTGGCAATTCTTTTGAGAACTTAATTCAGCATAGAACCTAAATTGAACTTGGTATTTCCCCATGTTTAAGAGTTCTTCATTTCACACTGATTGTTGCATCTAAACCATCAATGAATAGATTATTTTATTCACTATCAGGAGAAAGGAATTTCATTTCTTGCCTGTATTATCTATTTCAACCCTAGTTTCCAACCCAGTTATTTTAATGAATTTAAAATCTTGTGCTCAAAGAATTGGAATTTCTTACTATATAATTTACGTTAGAGCCTTTTTATTCTTCCATCCTTTCAAAGCCACGTCATCAAACAAAATATGGATATGGCAAGATGTTTTTTCAGAAGCAGCTCAACACCTTGATTAATAACTGTGCGTGTTCAAATTTTAAGCCTTTTTTATTTATCTTCTTTCTTTCTATCTGTTCCTCATCAAGGTTATGAAGTTGAGAAAACTAGCACAGCAGATAGCAAATTGCCGGCAATGCTTGGAGCGGTCAGGGTCTCTCATCAGTCAAGCAGAACACAGCCTGAAGGAGAATGATCATGCACGTTTTTTACAAACAGCCAAAAATGTAACAGAAAGGTGGGACAGACTTGCTGGGAACATTAGTCATTCTCTGGTTCAACAGGCCAACTGTATTTATGTATTAAGCATGAAGAACATGACTACCCATATATTGTAAAAGACAATTTCTCTCTCTGGTTTACTGAACTCATCTCCTAAGGCTGATGACTCATGTATTAATCCAATTCCAGCTGAAATCAGCTAGCACAGCACTGATAAGAGATTAATCCTTAGGCATTCAGTTTATGTGGCTCAGATCTACGTTGTGCAAGGCACAGCCATGAATCCATTGATTGTGAATTATTTAGTTCCTTCTGGTTTTATTAATTTTAAAGTGAATGATTATTAGCAAAATTTTATTTTTGGCATATAATATAAATCAACAACTTTATAGAATGGATCAGTCAAAATTTGAGAAGATATTGCAACCTTTTATGGGCTTAAAGTAATCATTTGGTTTAGTTTTTCATACAGGATCAATGGTTATGGCAAGTATACAATTTGGAATAAGACATTTCAGAGAAACAGAACTTGTGTTTCCATGCTACTGTCTCATAAAATTCATAATTTCTGAACTTTGGTCCTGCCAATTGACTCAGATGAGATTTTAATTGGAAATCATGACATTAATTTCAGGAGAGGTTGGCCTGGCTGAAGTTTCTTTCTTTGCTTTAGGAATTGAAACCAGCAATGGTGCCCCTTCTATTGTCCTTGACGTGATCTGCTAACACAGCTTTGACTATTGAGTTCAGTTTTATAATGGTGTCAGGTTTCCCTTTGAGCTACCAAAATAACTCAAGTTAAGAAAATGCAATGTGCCAAATTTCCATCACCAAAGACTCCATCTGCAGCAGATTTCCTATACTATCAATAGGTCACAGTGTGAAATATGGGTGCAGTAAAAGACATTTTTCAAGTAGACTGTTCAAAAATTGAACATGCATTTTAAAAATATTCCACATTATGATATGTTTTTGGTTTTGTCATTATGAAACTTTGATGGCTTAAATTTCTGCTGGCAATGGTCTGTGACTGCGAAGTTAATGCAGGAGGACAGCACTCCATAGATCAATAACTCAGTAACAGTATTGCAATAGTAGTAATGCCTTCCAGCACTAAGCATCACAGAATAGAAAGCAGACCAGACTTTGCGATTGTTTGTGCAGCTATAAACAGTTCCATAAAATCAACTGCAAAGATTTTTGCTAAACAATCCCATGTTTCTTAGTACCCAACAGAACCAATTACATTTCTCATTGAACATAATTATATCTTTATCACTAGCAATGTCACATGATGTTTTTCAAAATAACATGGAGCTCAAGTTTGAGAAAGGGCCTTTAGCAAATTGTAGTTCATCCTTCTAGTACCCCAGTGGCCCCAGTTCAGCATCCAGTACACATGAACAACCTTTTTGGTCTTTGTACAGAAGTTTGTTCAAGATATTTCTGTCTTGAATGAAAAAGCATTTCCAACCACCAGCTTTAAATTTGCAATTGACAAAGATTGATTCTACTCATGGCTTACAATGAAATAATACTGGAGTTATTTTATGTAGGCGATTTATTATTTCAAATCCCTTAAGGCTTATAGTGAACTTTTTTCTGGTCTGAAGAGCTTGGAAGTCTTTAATATTCAGTTGTAGTCCTTTTTATACTTGGAATCAGTAGTGTTGCTTTCCTTTGCATCTGTCCAATAAATGGATTTTTTTTGTGAGACAGGGCTAGATATTATATGCTCCAACTATGTGTGTTTTCAGTGGCAGGAGTTGCATATAAAATAGGGAGGATGCCCAGTTCTGAACTCTCCCCTTGAAATGAAGCGTGGGTTGGTGCTGAAAACAGCAGCCCATCCACCATATGTTTAAAAAAAAAAGGTTAACTGAGCTTGGTAAAATTTTGATAGGCCCAATATTCCCTTCTCAATTCATAACATGATTGACATAAGCAGGTGGCTGGGAGTGGGAAGTCCTTTTTCACAAGTTTTCAGAAGTGCAGGGAGGAGAGGAGCTGAGCTGAGCACTATCTTTGACGGGGGCCCTTTGCACAATTGGGTCATCCTCCCCGGAAGATAGTAACCTCCTTTCTTCCCTCCTATTTGACACTCCACCTCTGTCCCTTCCAACCCAAGATTGTCTGAACCTGTTCTGAAGAAGGGTCACTGGACCTGAAACATTAACTCTGCTTTTTCTCCACAAAAGCTGTGTGACCATTGAGTTTCTCCAGCAGTTTCTGCTTTTGTTCAAGGTTCTGTTAGTTTGCAGCCAATTATCCTTCCAACTTTTCTCCACATCCACTGAAATTAATGCTGACTACTGTTCTATCTCTATGTTCCAGCATTCTATTAATCCTTAATCGCTCCTTCATTTTGTCTAGATATTGAAAATGACCAATCTATTACATACAGTTTCCTACCTTTACTCACTATGCTAATTCAGTTCAATTCCATTCCATATCTGGCTTGATTGTCATAAAAATGCTATCAAGCAAACAAATCTGACCTTCAAGAGTTGGGGAGAAAGTGATTTTTTTAAAAATCTACTGAAAACAAGACACTTTAATTCCTCAACAGTTTTAAAATAATCTTGATGACAATAAACAATGAGGCCTAAAGTTATTGAACCTTTTAAAAATTGTTTAACAAGCAAGATACTACTTCAATTATTTTCTGATTCTTGTTGAAAATTCATTTGTCTCTTGTTGTTTTGGCAGGGTTGCTATGGCAACAGCATCTTCTCAAGTTCTGATTCCAGACATTAACTTGAATGAGGCTTTTGAGAATTTTACCTTAGATTTTTCAAGGGAGAAGAAACTACTTGAAAGCTTGGACTATCTTACTGGTAAGAATGTAAGAATAATGATGAGAAGTTTCTTTGTCATATATTATTACGCTGTGAATGTCCTGGTACTAGCTCTACAAGGATACCTTTCTCTGGAATTGGGTCCCAAGAGGGTGTTAGGGTTAATCCCTGTAGTAGTGGGCTAAGGGCTCTAAGTGATCTTTAATTTGTGATTTAAAGGTCTCAATTAATGGCTGGGTAGTGAGGTTGACCATGTCCCTTCCCACTCAAAATTTAATTCTGATAGAGGTGGGAAGATGGCAGGAATTGGCTGATGCAACATTATAATTAAGTACACCTTGCAATCTTTTGGAACACCAGAGTCAGCCTTTATCTCAATGCCTGTTCTCTCTTGAAGTCATTCTAAGGATCTCTCTGCCTACGTTAACCTTAAGCTTTGGCATCTCTGCCACCTCAAAATTCTCCCCCTCATTAATCAGATGTTATTCCATCTCATAAAGCATTTTAAATATTTTTTTCATTTCAGAAACGCATGTTGTTTTTGTTCAAAAGCCCATTTCATCAGTCAGTTTCTATGAAGTGACTCTTCATAATATTGAATTTCAATTCCCATTTAGGTCCATACTGACTCTCCAAAGATATCCCACTCTATCCCTGTAACCCTGCATTTCCCATGGTTAATCCACCTAGCCAGCACATCCCTGGACACTATGGGCAATTTTGCATGGCCATTCAACCTAATCTGCACATCTTTTGGACTGTGGAAGGAAACTGAAGCACCCGGAAGAAACCTCCACACAGACAGTTAACCGAGGGTGGAATCGAACCTTGGTCCCTGGCACTGAGAGGTAGCGGTGCTTTCAGGTACCCAGCTAATCAAAAAAGCCAAGAACCAACCTTAATGACTGAATCTTTGCCAATTTTAGTTGAGTTCAGTCTCTGACTTACTTCTATCGAGGTGTCACACATTGAATTGGTACTGACATAATCCACTTCACACTCTGCTGGGCTCAGTAACTTATCTTGATAAGAGAATAGTAAGTATATATCCAGAATTCAATATGGTAGCTGAATTGTGACATTATGGTGAATCTTGCAGACAATGTAGGCAGCACATGCACCAAGTTTAAAAGAGATTATTGTAGCTGTCAGTGTAGGAATAGTCTGAGGGGCTCAGTCTAAAGCTTTTAGCTCAACTAGCTTTGATGTTATATGATAATCCAGCTGCTAACAAGGTGGTACCAGATGGCATGACATCACCTGTTTATATCTATCAACCCGTACTTTATTAAAATTTCCTGTACACATGCCTTCAGGTAAAACAGGATCTATACTGTTTATTATCTCTTAAAGATCTGAAACAAACTTTAAACTGGAGTGCCTCTTTGGATACAAAACATAGTTGAACCCGCTGCAATTCAACTTCACAGGAACATTTTCTTCACATTCCCAGTTTCAACCAGCTTTCAAATTCCTACAGCTGGCTTACCTCTGCTCTGTTTTAGTGTTATTTTAATATTAGAATAGATTGACTTAATCTTAGATGCTCAATTCATGCAACCAGTGCATGCTGGTTACTTTCACAATCTGCTATATTTAATAATGCTGACTTTTAGTTCTCTCCTACTCCTACATTTGGAAATATTATGTCATTCGAAAAATTGAAATAGTTTTAAATGTATATGAAATGCATGGTGGGTTGATTAGCATACCTGTCCCTTTTAAATACTACTGCTTCAAGCAGAACCCTTCTTCACATGACTGGAAACTTTAGTCTCTTTTCTCCTTTCAGATTCCTACAAGGCTGCTGTGTATTTCCAGCACGTTCTGTTCTTGTTTTCAACTTCCATATTCATTGTATGTTATGTCTCTATTACTGGAATTGCTGTTTCTACAGTTGAAAGTGATACAGATAGATGTTTCTTGCATTTTGATCTATGCATTGTCATACCTAGCTCCACCCCATCTACTCTTAGCGAAGTTTCTCATACATCAAAGTTATGTACAGTGACACAATGTTTCTGATGATTTATGGGTGCCATTTAAACTGTGTAGAAAAAAATGTAGTTCACTATTTATATTGATATCTCAAGCCCTTGTCCCAATTACCTGGCAAAGGTGGTTAGGTTTGGGTTGCAAAACTTGGCCAAATGATTAAAGGGTTTAGTTTTTAGCTTTAGTGGGCTAATGTGACCAGAGGGACGTGATCATCGTTGGTGTCAAACTCTCACTGTTATAAAATTAACTTTGACCAAAGGAATCAAATCAAATAAATAATATTGTTGTTATAAATGTAAAGGGTTAACAAGTAGGGTAGTGAGGAGCTACAGTGTGGAAACAAACGTGGAAATAAAAGATCGTATAACACCAACAAAATAAGGAAATAAGTAATGTAATTTCATTAATAACTCATTATTCAGTTTAACCTCATTCCTTCCATGGCAATGGTACAACCCTCGGTAAACTCATTAACCTACTATATAGTTGAAATTATGGGGGCTCACTTCTCTTTACCTTCATTGTGCTATTCAACTTCTCTGTCCTTTCAATATTGACCACTCTGTTTATTTTCTTTGCTGTTCCATCTGTTACAAACCAATTAGGAAGAGTGAAGTGATTGCTGACATTGTGGCCACTGAAGGAGTTAAACAATGTTTGCCAATTACATAATTTAGACTTTTACAAAAGTTCAGTATTGTTTCATATCAGAAACAAATCAGTGAGATTCAATTTTTTTAACAAATGAAGAGCTAGTTTATTGCAAATGGAATTGCTCATGGAAAGATTCAGTTGTTTGCAGACAATTTAAAACGTGCAAATCTATCCAATTGCCCCCTCTCTCAAAATAACGCCCATGTACACAACTTCCCAAATTGGCAGGAAGTGGGAGAAAATACATAAAATGCTAAGAAGTATTATCTTTAAAGTACTTTGGCCGAGCAATGGTTAAATTTGGATAAAAACCTGTTCATAATTTGTCCAAATGCTTATCTGCAACCGAAGCCACTTTCCAAAGTGGGGTTTCTTTTTGAATCAGTTCTGATTGGCTGAATTATCTTTTCCTGGAGACACTGATGTAAATTTAGATTTCTCCTGTTAAGAATGTGGTGAGGTCTTGTGAGTTTTCAACTTGTACATGTTGATGATAGGTGTTTCAGGAAAAGATAGAGGGCTGAGGCTGTTTCCCTTCTGATAAGTTTTTAGTCCACAAACTGGATCATACGGTTCTTTGAAAACATCGCAGAATCTCTGCCTCTGTCTGGCAGGGTGTGTTCTTTACGAATACAATATTTTTGCTGCTGCAGCCAGTATCCTCTGAATTAAAAAATATTTTTTTAAAAAAACTCAAATCATCATATGTATAAATGATATATATTTTATATCCATATGTACGTACAGATGATGTTATAACAACATTTTAGGTAACCTTTCATAACCCGTCCTACAATGAGAATGTGTATACCATTTTGGTGAAAGCATTTTCACAATGCCATTCATGGAAACAATCTCTGCCACATCTTTTTTGCAGCCCCAAATCCTCCAAGCATTCGAGAAGAACTCTGCACAGCATCTCATGACACAATTACTGTTCATTGGACCTCAGAAGATGAATTCAGCATCGTTTCCTATGAGTTGCAGTACACTATCTTCACAGGACAAGCAAATTTTATCAGTAAGTTTTAAAAAGATTATAGAAGCCTGTATAAAATCAGGCACTTTTCTATGAATAGGATTGGCAGATTATTGTTAATACTATCAATTCCACTAATGAAGACTCTGACCCTATGAAACTTCACACAGACCCCATAATACAGAGGGTGGGCCAGTGTTAGATGTAGCAGCTCACTCACTCTATACCAATTGTATAAATTTAGACAGTTCATTGTTTTCAAATTTCTTGAGCTCAATTAATTTCACACCAATGCCTTCGATACTCATGTTTTCAATAAAACAGTTGGCCTCTCCCTCTCACTGATCATTCTTCAATACAGACCAGTCCCCTCACAACCAAGAGACATTACAGTATAGATTGAGGCATTCATTTCCATTTCTGCCTGCAACACACTATTGGGACCCGATGACCCCTGCAAAAACTATTCACCATCTCTAGAGCACCGCGTTGAGCAAAGATAACCGGCTTTCCTCTTCCTTTTGCCCATAATCCTTAACCTCCAAGGATAAATGTGAGTAGTTCACTGATTTCTTTTTCAATAAGAGCCAAGACTGTATTCTTCTGCCTAGTGTGGAGAGAAAATCTACTTCCTGGTCTGATTAGAAGAATCTTGTGTAGTTAACAAGGTATAGTTTATTTCATGATCAGAAACTATTACAAGTTGTGTTGATACGATAGGCAGTATTGCTGAGACCTTGGAGGAGGCCCAGATGATAGATTTCACTCCTTCAAAATTCTGTGCTGTTCTGCCCACAAGTTCATAACAAATCATTGTGGGAGGTACTTATGGCACTCGTCCTTTCTCACACCCATATATGACATTTCCCCCATTTTTATTCAACATTATACATTTGTGTATATAATTACATTTTATGTTACTCCATCTTCCCCAAGTCCCTGACATTATAAATTTAAGCAATATGGAGTTTACACTATTTCCCAAGATGCATTATTTTCTAACTTGCAAGACTGGTAGTTTGCTTGGTGGAAGACCGTTGACTTCGATTCTTTTCCTGCTTGTCTAAGATCTGTTGTTCCCTTGTGTAATCAAGTTCCCCATGGGAATCATCTCAATCGATCAGTGGTGGATGAGTATCCTGTAATGGTGCAAGGTTCCTGCAGTTCCTTTTTAGGAAGCCTTTGGTTGGGCAAACAATATACAATCTCTGCTGATCTGTAGATCTTTGGATGACCATACCTTTGTTTTTCAAATCCCTGATCCATACTTGTTTCCCCCCGCCAACCTCTCCTCCACTCCCACACAACTCTAACAACAGTCTCATATGGTAGCACCTATTGTAGAATGTGGTCTGAGAACCCAGTAGGACTGTTCTCCTTGTTCTACATATCTTAATAGTCCCATCGATGTTAATACAGATCCTTTGGTAGGATCAGGAGCTGAGAGTTCAGCTTCCTAGCCATCAGCAACTCAGTGCTAATGGGTGAGTGCATTTGGTTTTCTTCAAGACCTGATCCTGTCTTGAGATTCCCATGTGACTGTGTGACATGTTCAGATCCAGCACTGGCTGCAAATTGACTGAAACACTGTTTAGCAAAGTGTGGCCCATTGTCAAAAATTACCACATCAGGGATACTGTCTATTGCAAATATCTCATTAAGACTGAGAGAACCACATTCATTGTCATGCCATCAAACTTTTTAAACTTTATCTTCTGGAAGAATTAATGGATGACAATGACCGATTCCCTTCCATCATACAATCTATGCCACACATTCCCATGGTCAGGTGGAAAAGGTGTTTGTTATCAACAGCTATAATTGCTTTGGTTCATGGCTGACACAGATATCAATTGACCATTAGATCCTCAAAGTCCACGGAGATCCTACCAAGCCACATCACTTACCAAGCTCTGGCTCTGCACTTTATGATCTCCATGTGTCTCTGGTGTAGCTTGAAGTACAGTTGGAATGATAAGTTGTTTGTCATATATTAGTATGATACCCACAATTATAAACTGCTGCTGATGATCAAAATATGTTTTCATGGTAAATCTGTTGAATCTTTGATTTGGTCAACCTTATGCACAACACCAACAGAGATTAAGACACCCCTGATCCCTCAACAACTCCTGTCTTATCTGAATAAATTGATTGCAGCTTGCTGACCATTGTACCACCATGGGGTGAGTGTATGACTTGGTTTCATGAATAAACTCAATATCGTGCCTAGTAAGGTTGTCAGCCAACTCTCTGCAGACAGCATCTGCTGCCATTTGTAATTTTTATTTCAGTTATATGATTTCATAACCTCGTATGACAAAGCCAGAGTCTTTCTGTATTCCTGGAGGCATCTTTACCAGCTCCTTCTCATCCAGCTGGGAAACTAGAGAAACTATCCATTTCTGTGACCATTTTTTAAATAAGTATGTAGTCTGAACATCTCTTGCAAGTCCATGTAGCCAAGCATGCTCCCTCTTTAATCACAGCTCATCATGTTTCTGTGTAATAAATGCTCATTATGCATAATAGAGAGATTTGTGACTGCCATCTGGTTGCTCATCGAAAAGCACTGCTACTAAATCTATAGCTAAAGCATTGGCTGCTATGATGATTAGAAAGGATGGATTATAGTAGGCCAATACATTCATGGATATTAGCATATCCTCGATCCTACAATGCAGTCTCATGATACAGGTCACAACACCATCCTTGTGACTTCTAAGAGAATTGTCTCAGTAGTTCTGTGGTAGTTGCCAAGTCAGGCGAACATTTCACTAACTGGTTTACTGTCACGAAGAATCTTTGCTGATCCTGACTTATTTGATCTGAAACCTTGAATTAATATTTATTTTGCAGCCATTTACATTCCTATAGCTGTGCCCTGTGATGTATGCTTTCTATGGCAGTGACACATCATCAGAAATTTAATTAACATTTTAAACTTACTGCTTTTTCAGCCTGGATTACTACACTAAATCTCAACTCACCACCATTCCTACACACCTCCTCTCTACAGTGCAGCGTTTATCTCTTTTTTTGATTTACTAATTCTTCTCCAGGGTGACTAACGGTCTCCATTACATCACATTTCTTATGAGGTCTGAAATGCTTTTACCATTCTTTGGACTATTATTTTCTTTCTGAAGATTATCATGACAGTCCCTTTTGAAGGTTTTAAATCTTCTGCTCTTATCGGCTGCTGAGTGTGGCGCGTTGTATGCTACTTAAAGCCAAGTCTGAAGATCTCCCACCACTGCTCAACATGAAATATAAAGACAATTCAATTCTGCGCTGCTATCTACTATGTTGTATGGACAAGCCAGCTCACTACACTGTAGGAACTGCTGCTCATGATGAAAGTTGCTACCACCATCCTTTTTAGGTGTAGGAATCAATGGGGTTTGCATAGTCTAGTGTGATAAATGAAACCTTCCTGATTTAGCAAGAGTTTTTTGTAGTTAAGTATAGTTTATTGCATGTTAGCGACTAGTTACAGGTTACATTAATTTAACAGACAATGAGGACGACCAGATGTCAGGTCCTCACTCCTTCGAGATCTCCTAAACGGCTTTGTGCATTGGTCCATGTGATAATGCAATGGATGGTGCTTGTGGCACTCCTCAGTATTAATCCTTTCAGATACATACAATGCTACTTCTACAAAGTAATTACTTCCTTGTGGCTACAGTCATGGTGCACTATGCTCTCTCATCCTTTTCAATCTCCCTTCAGTCTTTGAAATTATTGCCACACTTTTCTCCTCAGCACCAATCATATGGAATTGGACTTGTCTAGCTTTACTCTTACTGATGAAGACAATCTCCTGTAATGGTTTCTCTCCACACTAAATACAGCTACCTTGAATGTCAGTCCACCCTTGTGCCACTTAATCTGTCCTTTCAGCTATTCTGTCAGGTTGAAGTTGACTGCTTGCAACTTTGTTGTCCCATTTCAGTAGAGGCTTTGTATCTTATCCTCACATCACAAAGACCAAATAATTCCACTTCTATCCCATTGACTGATTTCCTCCTCCGACCTCAGTGCATACTGTGCTGAAATCTTCAACTATGCCTTTTTTTACACTTCAGATTTAACTATTTTAATCCTCTTCTGATAGGCTGTCATGCTCAATAAGTTTCAGTTCCTTCAAAAATCTACAGTTTATATTCAAACACTCACCATGCCACGTTCACCTTTTGATTTGACTTTGTGCTCGCTGACTTACATTGAGTCTTGATGGAGTCAGAGTCATACAGCACAGAAACAGACCCTTCAGTCCAACCAGTCCATACCAAACATAATCCCAAACTAAACTAGACCCACCTGCCTGCTCCTGGCCCACATTCCTCCGAACCTTTCCTATTCATGTATTAATCAAAAAGTCTTTTAAATGTTGTAATTGTTCCCACATCCACCGCTTCCCCAGGAAGTTCATTCCACACACGAACCACCCTCTATGTAAAAAATTTGTCTCTTTTATGTCTTTTTTAAATCTCTTTCCTCTCACCTCAAAAATGTGCCCGCTAGCCTTCAAATCCCCAATCCTAAGGAAAAGACAACTACCATTAACTGTATCTATACCTCTCATTATTTTATAAGCGTCTATCAGGTCCCCTCTCAACCTCCTAAGCTCTAATGAAAAAAGACCCAGCCTATCCAGCCTTTCTTTATAACTCAAACTTTCCATACCTAGCAATGTCCTGGTAAACACTTCTGAACCCTCTCCAGCTTGATAATATGCTTCCAATAACTGGGCAACCAGAATTGGACACAGTATTCCAAAAGAGGCCTCACCAATGTCTTGTACAACCTCAACATGACTTCCCAACTCCTATACATAAAGGATTGAGCAATGAAGGTAAGTGTGCCAAGCACCTTTTTAACCACTCTGTCTATATGTGACGTACACTTCAAAGAATTATGTACCTGCACCCCACGGTGCCTCTGTTCTAAATCACTGTGCAAGGCCGTACCATTAACTGATCTCCAAATAACTTACAATTTTAAAATTCTCATCCTTCAATTCCTTTCCCACCTTA